GGCCCAAAACTGAACACAGTACTCCAGGTGTGGCCTCGCCAGTGCCAAGTACAGGGGCGCGTTCACCTCGCTACTCCTGCTGGCCACACTGTTCCTGATACATCCAGGGAAGTAACTGTCCTCTGATCTACGGCACTGTAGGAGTCACACCAGCATCCTTTGCCATGTCAGAGGCTGTTGAAGAGAGTTGTGTTTTCCTCTGCTGCAGCAGAAACTTGGCCTGCCAAGGTCCCCCTGCTTGCATGAGCTCCTTCCCACCGCAGGGTTTCCAGCAAAACCCAAAGCAGGCCACAGCCCCAGGGTGGCCTGGCCTGCTGGAGGACGGTAGCTGGGGCTGGAGCCCCCTCTGCAGGGACCGTCCCCCCATTGCCACGCTGGCCGGCGAGCTGTGGCCCCGGCAGGAGGGCTGTCACAAGCACCTCCACCCCGCCACAAGCACCTCCACCCCAACTCCCCCCCGACACAAGCAGCTCCACCCCACCTCCATCCCACCATGAACACCTCCATCCCACTGCATCCATCCCACAGAGCCAAGAAGGGCGTGAGCCAAAAGGCCAGAGAGGTTTTGCAAGGCCTCCATCTGCTCTCGTGAAAATTTCCGCTACCAAAGCCACCGTGATGGTTGTCACGTTTCCCAGCTGAAGGCCTGATAGTCAGCGGGCCCCTTCTGCTCACCTTGCCTATGTGCTGTAAATATACAGAAATTTTGGCTTCCAGGGATTTCATTTCAGTGCCATCTGTGACCATGCCATTGAGCTAGACTCCAAATTTAATGAAAACTTATTTTGAATATTATTGTTTACAGGCACTGGCAGGAGAGCATGGTCCCCCAGTCTGGCCTGCAACGAGCAGGGCAAACACTGTTGTCTAACATTCAGCTGGTCATCGACTAGTTGCATCGATGACTTGGACACCTACAATAAACTAAACTTCACAGAATAGTGAAGCTTAACACCACTTTAAAAGGGGGTATTTTCAGGATCACACGTCACAGCTTGCTAGAAAACGAGTCGTGGTGTGCAGTTTGTTCAGAGAAGGCATGCCCTGTAACTGCGGCACGCGGCTGTCATCTGCTGAGACAAAGCCGAGGCATGAAATTCTCTGAGCATAGAGCATGTACTCTCTGACACACGCGCTCTGCATTCCTGAGCTTGCTGCGTGAAAAGCAAAGTCTTTCCTTGTGGTTTTGCAGTTCTCAGTAGCTTGCACCATGCACATTTCAACACTGTCACTTCTTGCACTTTGGGAACACAGCTCCACTTAGTCCTCTTTTCCATCTGAACTGGAAAAGCAGCTCAAAGACCTGACAGCCCAAACGATTTTCTCAGCAATGTAAGTGCATGTGATATGTTTGTTCTCAATGCCATGCATGCCTGACACATGATTGCAAGGGAAGCTCTTAATTTCATTTTAAAAAATCAAGTTTCCATTTTGCGTGGCATAAAAAGGTGGAAATAACTGAACCATGCACAGTAGTTCAAGATTTATTATTATTGTTTTATACAGTGAATCTAGGTTCCATCCCTTTTAATGCTTGCATTTTGAAATAATGACTCTCTCCAAAGCCAGGGCGTGTGTTGAGTTACTCCTGAGCATGCTCTACGGCTGCCTGGCGAAGTTACGGCCCTTTGGTATAACAGGCTGCAGCCAGGCTCTCGGGCTTCTTCAAAAAGCTTTTTAAAAAGACTATTCCATGCTGCCTTTAATCTATTTATATTTACTATAAACTTCTGTCATCAGTGGCTTTATTCATTGTTGCCCTGGTCTTTGTGTACTCCAGCACAGAGTCGGCATAAACATCCTGACACAGTTCAGTCTGTGTTCGTAGAACAGAGAGTGTTGTACCCATGAAAAACCCTAGGAAAGTGAAAGCACGTCTTTCTTACAGGGGTGTGGAAGTACAAACTCTAGTTAAGCAGAACACGGGAAAAAATCCACGCTACTGTCTGATTAAAGTTATTAGGAAAGGTAATAGCATTGTTAAAGCTAAGTCTTGTCTCTTTCTTTTTTCCCCCATGGAGACAGCGTTCAAAGTATTTCACAAGATAAAACAAAGATCAAGATTCTTATTTCTATTTCACAGACTGAGAAATGGAATCATAGAGGCCGTGAATGACATTAAGATCCAGAGGGGAAATTAGTAAGGGTCGGGTACAAACCCCACGTCGCTGCGATGCAGATCTTTTGATGGAAAATCACAGCCCTCGTACGCGCTTGACAACCTGTATGAGCCGCGAGAACTGCGATACGGGATGTGGGCACGCTGGTTTTCTCCTGAATTCCTGGGTTTACGTTCACCCTCGCTGCCTTGGGGCTCAGTCCTCACCCCACCGGGCTCAGGTCCAGCCCGAAATCCCCAAACCCATGGTGCGAATGCAGATCTTTTGATGGAAAATCACAGCCCTCGTACGCGCTTGACAACCTGTATGAGCCGCGAGAACTGCGATACGGGATGTGGGCACGCTGGTTTTCTCCTGAATTCCTGGGTTTACGTTCACCCTCGCTGCCTTGGGGCTCAGTCCTCACCCCACCGGGCTCAGGTCCAGCCCGAAATCCCCAAACCCATGGTGCGACACGCTCCATCCAAGCCTCGAG